ACCCAAACTAATCCAAGAAACTCATTTTATCGAGTTCGAACGTTTGTAAATAATATTGGAACGTCATGAACTTTTTGTAACTCGTTGAAACAGTCCAAAATACTCATTCCAATGAGTTTCAATGAGTTCAAATAGTTTCGGAACGATTTTTCAAGATAATTGAAATGCTGAAAATTTTTTGGAACTCGTTGGAACAGTCCAAAACTAACCTAACAAACTCATTTTAATGAGTTCGAACATTTTTCAATAACATTGGAACGTCATAAACTTTTCAAAACTCGTTGAAACAGTCCAAAAAACTCACTCCAACGAGTTCCAATGAGTTTAAAAAGTTTTGGAACGATTTTTTAGGATAATTGAAACGCCACAAATTTTTTGGAACTTTTTGGAACAGCCGAAAAGTAACCCAAACTAGCCCAAAAAACTCATTTTAATGAATTCGAATGTTTTTAAATAATGTTGGAACGTCATGAACTTTTTGAAACTAGCTGTAACAGTCCAAAAAACTCACCTTAACAAGTTGTCATTTTTGCAAATAATACTGGAACGAGTATATGAATTTGTTGGAACATTATAAACTTTTCGAAACTCGTTGGAACAGTCCAAAACTAACCCAAAAAACTCATTTTGACGAGTTCGAATGTTTCTAAGTAATATTGGAACGTCATGAACTTTTTGGAACCCGATGAAACAGTTTAAAATACTCACTCCAACGAGTTCCAATGAGTTTAAATAGTTTTGGAACGATTTTTTAGGATAATTGAAACGCCACAAATTTTTTGGAACTTTTTGGAACAGCCGAAAAGTAACCCAAACTAGCCCAAAAAACTCATTTTAATGAATTCGAATGTTTTTAAATAATGTTGGAACGTCATGAACTTTTTGAAACTCGCTGGATCAGTCCAAAAAACTCACCTGAAAAAGTTGTCATTTTTGCAAATAATACTGGAACAAGTATATGAATTTGTTGGAACATTATAAACTTTTTGGAACTTGGAACAGTCCAAAACTAACTCAAAAAACTCATTTTGACGAGTTCAAATGTTTCTAAGTGATATTGGAACATTTTGGAACCTGTTGAAATAGTCCAAAAAACTCACTCCAACGAGTTCCAATGAGTTTAAATGGTTTTGGAACGATTTTTTAAGTTAATTGAAACGCTACAAATTTTTTGGATTTTATTGGAACAGTCGAAAAGTAACCCAAACTAGCTCAAAAAACTCATTTCAACGAGTTCGCATGTTTCTAAATAATGTTGGAACGTCATAAACTTTTTGGAACTTGCTGGAACAGTCCAAAAAACTCACCTTAAGTTGTCATTTTTGCAAATAATACTGGAACGAATATATGAATTTGTTGGAACATTATAAACTTTTTGGAACTCGTTGGAACAGTCCAAAACTAACCCAAAAACTCATTTTAACGGGTTCGAATGTTTCTAAGTAATATTGGAACGTCATGAACTTTTTGGAACCCGTTGAAACAGCCCAAAAAACTCATTCTAACGAGTTCCAATGGGTTTAAAAGGTTTGGGAATGATTTTTTAAGTTAATTGAAACGCTATAAATTTTTTGTAACTCGTTGGAACAGTTCAAAACTAACCCAAACTAATCCAAGAAACTCATTTTATCGAGTTCGAACGTTTGTAAATAACATTGGAACGTCATGAACTTTTTGGAACTTGTTATAACAGTCCAGAACTAAACCAACCCAACTTTTTGGAACTCGTTGGAACAGTCCAAAACTAACCAAAAAAACTCATTTTGATGAGTTCGAATGTTTCTAAGTAATATTGGAACGTCATGAACTTTTTGGAACCTGTTGAAAGTCTAAAAAACTCACTCCAACGAGTTCCAAAGAGTTTAAATAGTTTTGGAACGATTTTTTAAGGTAATTGAAAAGCTATAAATTTTTTGGAACTTGTTGGAACAGTCCAAAAGTAACCCAAACTAGCCCAAAAAACTCATTTTAACGAGTTCGAATGTTTCTAAATAATGTTGGAACGTCATGAACTTTTTGGAACTTGCTGGAACAGTCCAAAAAACTCACCTTAACAAGTTGTCATTTTTGCAAATATTACTGGAACGAGTATATGAATTTGTTGGAACATTATAAACTTTTTGGAACTTGTTGGAACAGTCCAAAACTAACCCAAAAAACTCATTTTGACGAGTTCGAATGTTTCTAAGTAATATTGGAACGTCATGAACTTTTTGGAACCCGTTGAAACAGTCTAAAAAACTCACTCCAACGAGTTCCAATGAGTTTAAATAGTTTTGGAACGATTTTTTAAGATAATTGAAACGCTATAAATTTTTTGGAACTTGTTGGAACAGTTCAAAAGTAACCCAAACTAGCCCAAAAAACTCATTTTAAGGAGTTCGAATGTTTCTAAATAATATTGGAACGTCATGAACTTTTTGGAACTGGCTGGAACAGTCCAAAAAACTCATTTTAACAAGTTGTCATTTTTGCAAATAATACTGGAACGAGTATATGAATTTGTTGGAAGATTATAAACTTTTTGGAACTCGTTGGAACAGTCCAAAACTAACCCAAAAAACTCATTTTAACGAGTTTGTGCGCGGTTGCAGATAAAAAATTGTTTCGTGAAAATTTTGCACGATGAAAATAAGGTAAATTTTTTAAGATAAAATGTTGTACGTTACCTCTATTGAAAAACAAATTAGAAATTATTAATTTAAAGAACACATTTTTTTATTGTCAGTGAATTCAATTTTTGCGTGCGACAAAGACAAACCGATATTTTTTTTTTAAGGGTTAGAGAGAGACAGCGATAAAGTAGGACCCTATCGAGTAAACTAAAAGCCGGATTTACGATTTTCTGATCAATTTAATATGAGAAACGTCAAAAAATTGACGTTTCAAGTAGGCCTTGACAGTTAACTCAAAATGGATGGTAAAAATCAGGATTGTTTCTTAAGCCTACTTGGTTTGATAAATCTTTTGCTTACATTTATCTGTATCAGAGCTGGGCAAAGCCTTCAGTAAAAGGGCTTGAAGCACTAAGCCCTAAGCCCTCTATCAAAGTGCTTCAATTTCAAGCACAAATTCCTTTTTATTTTCAAAAGTGCTTCACAAGCACAAAGCCCTCAAAGTGCTTTGGGCTTGACAAGCACAAAGCCCTCAAAGTGATTTGAAAAGTGCTTGAAGCACATCAAAAGTGCTTGAGGTGCCTTGAAAAGGGCTTCAAGCTCTTTAAATGTGCTTGAAGCTCTTTAAATGTGCCTAAAGCACTTTGAATTTGTAATAAAATTCTCAAAGTGGCATAAGCTACCGCGTACACTCATCACACAGAATTGGTATAGTAGAGACGAACTTTACATTTCACAGAGTAGCAGTAGTATGTTTTTTTTTTGAGATGTAGTTCTGGGGTACTTGAGGTACTACACGGTAATTCAATTTTAAGGTTTCCAAAATGTTCAATGGGGAAAAGTGAAAAGTGGAAAAAATCCAGTGATAAAGTTAAATGGGGTACCAATATAAATTAATTATTTATTTGAATAATAAGTTCATTAATTTTTTTTAAAATTCTATTCTAAGCTCAAACCCAAAACCTCCATTGTTAAGAGAGGAAAGACATAAAACGGTTCAAGTTCAAATAATAGAAAATAAAAATTAAGGGACAAAACACGATAGAAAATTTTTAAGTGGGGGATAGGTTGAATGATGGTCAATTCAAATTCCTTTCAAAGTGCTTCAAGCCCTTTTAAAGTGCTTCAAGCCCTTTCAAAGTGCTTCAAGCTCCCAAAAGTGCTTCAAGCCCTCTTAAAGTGCTTCAAGCCCTCTTAAAGTGCTTCAAGCCCTTTCAAAGGGCTTCAAGCTCCCAAAAGTGCTTCAAGCCCTCTAAAAGTATTTGAAGCTCATTGAAAGGGCTTGAATTACTTTTTTCAATTACAAATTACCAAGCACTTTTCTAAAGTAATTGACTTTGCAAGCCCCAATTACAAATCTATAAAAGGGCTTGAAGCACAGGGCTTTCAAGCCCTCAAAGTGCTTCAAGCACTTTCGCAAGCACAAAGCACTCAAGCCCTGCCCAGCTCTGATCTGTATTACCGACATCGACGAGCCCGAAGGGCCGGAGTTATACGAGTTACAGCCTACGTTAAGGCGAGAAATAACAAGTTGTCTACGTCACAACTAGTTATTTCGTTTGAGAAGGAGGGATTTGTTACACACAGGCTTTATGTGGATAGGCCATTCTGTAGTAGTAATGTGTATTATCCTTGATTTGTATAATCCTTTCAAAGCAACTCTCACTTGCGCGCTGTTTTTTGACATTGCTTTGACAATCTGACGTTTAATGTGTGTATCAAACGTCAAATTGTCGAAGCAATGTCAAAAATTTCGCGCAAATGAAAATGAGGCATAAGTTGATTTGTGTCCGCCATTTTCGTTCTTACTTATTCATCCTTCAAAAATGATACACACTACTAGAGGATGTCTTATGCTCATAAGACTTGTGTGTAACAAATCACCAGTCGTGACGTAGGCAGCATGTTATTTCTCGCGTTGACGTCGGAAATGGTGATACACCAATCTGGCGGCGATTACCAAAAACGCTATCCTTGTTCATCCTGTACTTTTTTCCGCCATTTTCGTCCCCTCCTGTAAAATTCAAGAGCCTGGAATCGACAATCTGACGTTTAATGCGTGTATCAAACGTCAAATTATTGAAGCAATGTCAAAAAAAGTGAGAATGAGGCATAAGTTGATTTGTGTCCGCCATTTTCGTCCTTCAAAGATGATACACTCTACTATAGGATGGCCTATCCTCATAAGACCTTTGTGCAACAAATCACCAGTTGTGACGTTGCAAGCATGTTATTTCTCGCTTTGACGTCGGAAATGGTGACACACCAATTTGGCGGCGATTATCAAAAACGCTATCCTTGTTTATCTTGTACTTTTTTCCGCCATTTTCGTCCTCGCCTATAAAATTCAAGAGCCTGGAATAGGAAAACAATGAAAACACAATGTTATTTCTTTAAACAATTTTTATTTCTAGACCATCCTTCTCAACAACTCATTGATTTTGTCCTCCCTGTTGCCGAAATCGCCCCCTTCCACATAATGGTTGGTCTTCTTACGCCATCCTCCAGTGGGGGTGTTCAACTGCAAACAAACTTATTAATAAAAACACAAAATTTAATTTAAGAATTTTTACCTTGAAGGGCCACAAAAAGTTTGAGGCATACTTGAAATTCTCCCCAACAGTGAACAATTCGTGAATCAAATCTTCAACACAAATAATCCCGGATTTGCCCAGCCTGTCTTCGACAATTTGGTTGCTCGTAATAGGGATTCTTTGCCCGTTGACTTTGGCGAAGCCTCTTTTGTAAATCAACTCCCTGACAGATTTCAAGTTGGGGTAGCCCCAGGTGATGTAGGGCTCGCAAATTCTCATCATATTTATAGTGGCCTTGTTTAGCCTTACAAAAACTCCATTGTTGATTTGAAGGAGACGGAACAGTTGCAAGACTTTGCGCACTTTTGGGGCCACTTTGTTGATACTGAAATATTTGTAAATAGAAAAAAAAATGTCCTTTATAATGCCCTCATTTATTAAAGCGGGGCCTCAAAAAATAAGCTTGCTTGGCCCCTACGCCATATTGAATTTCGGTTTTTTGACACTTAATAATGGGGCCCTATAGAAACTGTCTTTTTTTTTTTTTTTGAGGTTAACCAACTAAACTTACCCCTTAATACGAATAACAAAGGCCAACTTTGCCTCACCAGGCACATAGAAGTTTCCTCTATTTTTCGCTTGTCTTATTAGCCTGATTTCGTCACGCTCCTTCAACCTGTATTCTTTGACGTAGCGCTCCGCCCTCTTGAAAATATCCTTGCGTTTTTTGATTTGATCGGAACGTTTTTTGATGTCGGACTGTAGACGTTTGGCGCGGGACGCTTCGCGTCTTTTGCGGTGCTTGAGTACCGACTCGGGTACCGCCGGGAGCCCCTTGACGGTTTTCACTTTCGGTTGGACCCTGAAAATAATGGCGACGTTATTTTTAGTGGAAAAATATCGGGCCCCGTGTAAAATTCGGGCATCGGGAATTGGGATTTTGTAGTTTTTGGCTCGAAAATGGGGCCCATTTCAAGGATGTTTGAGGATTTGTTTTCACTTACGTTGGTGCCATTTTTGTTTATTTGACGAAAAGAGAAAAGGGCTGTCACTTTTAAATGTCAATACAAATATTAAGTGACAAGTGGCGCCATCTATGATTTTAAAACGTAAAAAACTAACCTAATGTTTTTATTACAGAATTGGTCGTTCGTTGATAGATGGCGCTGGTAAGTTTGTTTTTATACAGTAAATAAACCTTTGCATACATAGATTTCTACAGTGTCATTTACTGTTATTTTTCATTGGGAAAATTTGGAATTTTTAAGCAAAATTGGCTTGAAACAGAAGCATCTACAATGACGTCATCATTTTGAAAATATTTTCAACTAGCGACATCTATAAAACGAAAGCTAAACTAACTATTACAAAAATCTATAATTTTTACAGTGGCCAATTTGATTTCAGCCAAACGATGACGTCACCATAAGTGCTATCGTTAGTTAACTTCCATGTTTTTTCATAGTTTAGATTTCTTGAGTTAATTTTAGCAAAGAATATTATAGACTAACGTCTCTAGAAGAACCGTCCGGCGGCGAAAATATAAACCTGCGTGATGGCGCTAGTGTCCTAGTAAAATCAGTCGTTTCTACGATTAAATTAATTTGAGGCACTAAATGCACGCGTATTTGCTAGGCTGCGTTGCCAAGTTGTCTTTTGTATAACAAATTAAATGCCTGTGTTTTATATAGGTACTTATTATACATATACCTACCATAGAATAGGAATATTAGTGTCAAATGTCAAATTGTGACAGTTGCAGATTTTGAACCAGTTCTTCACAACGGATTTTGCTGAAATTTAGCATAGGTACACTTCAAGTTCAGGTGATAATACATTTTACACCACCAATGACAGGTGTCAACTGTCAAATGTGACAGGTGCAGATATTTGAACCATTATTTCGCAACGGATTTTGCTGAAATTTTGCATACATTTTATGTTCGGGTGATAATACATTTTAAACCACAAATGACGTTTAAAAAAAAAAAAAAAATTTATAACTTTGGACCTGTCAAAAAATGACATTTGAAAAAAAAAATAAAAAATTCATATTATAGGACCTGTCAAAAAAAAAATGACACTTGAAAAAAAAAAAAAAAATACAATACCCTATAATTTTTGAAAAAATCCTAAAAACTGTTTTTTACTAATTCGATTTAGGTCAAAATTCATCAAATCCCGAATTGTACCAGATTTAGTACATTTACCTTTTTAGTACAATTCAACTCTATAACTTTTGAAAAATCATAAAAACCGTTTTTTACAAATTCAATTTAGGTCAAAATCCATCAAATTCCAAATTTTACTAGGTTTAGTAGATTTACATTTTTAGTACATAATTTTTGAAAAATCATATAAACCGCTTTTTACAAATTCAATTTGGCCCAAAATCCATCCAATCCTGAATTATACTAGATTTAGTACATTTAATTTCAAGTATAATTAATCTTTGTTTTTGACATTTTTGAAAATTGTACTAAATCTAGTACATTTCTCTTTTTCTTATAAAAAAACAAGTAAAATTGTAAAGAAACTCTTTTGTCAAACAACATGGATATGGAAAAAAATGAATTTTTAGTATATTTCAACTTTTTATTTAGTACATTCGATTTTTAGTACAATTTATATTTTATTTCGAAAATTGTACCAAATTTAGTACATTTCATTTCAAGTACAATTTATCTTTGTTTTTGACATTTTTGAAAATTGTACAAAGTCTAGTACATTTCATTTTTAGTACAATTTTTCATTTCAGTACAAAAAAACGAAAACACACAAACTCCCAGGATAATGAAAATATTTTTTCAAAAATTGCACTAAATCAATTTTTATTTCCGAAAATTTAGTACATTTACATTTTTAGTTCAATTCAACTCTATATTTTTTGAAAAATCATAAAAACCGTTTTTTACCTATTCAATTTGGGTCAAAATCCATCAAATCCCGAATTGTACTAGATTTAGTACATTTACATTTTTAGTAAAATTCAACTCTATAATTTTTGAAAAATCATAAAAACCATTTTTTACCAATTCAATTTAGATCAAAACCCGAATTGTACTAAATTTAGTAGATTTACATATTTAGTACAATTCAACTCTATAATTTTTGAAAAATTCATAAGAACCGTTTTTTACAAATTCAATTTATGTCAAAAATCAACATATCGCGAATTGTACTAGATTTAGTTCATTTACATTTTTAGTACGATTCAACTTAAATTTTTGAAAAATCACAAAAACCGTATTTTACTAATTCAATTTAGGTCAAAATTCATCAAATCCCGAATTGTACTAGATTTAGTATATTTACATTTTTAGTACAATTTTTTTTACGGTGTGATTTTCTAGTACATTTCCATTTTTTCATGAAAAATTATAAAAAACGATGTCTTCTTCAGATTTGAAAAATTCAATTTGGCCAAAATCTATTAAATCCCGAATTGTACTAGATAAATTACATTTGATTTCTGGTACAATTAATCTCTGTTTTTGACATTTTTAAAAATTGTACTAAATCTAGTACATTTCTTTTTTTTTTTTCATAAAAAAGTTTGTCAAATTGTGAAAAGACACGTCTTTCGAAAAAAAAATGAATTTTTAGGACATTTCAACCTTTTATTTAGTACATTTGGTTTTTAGTGCAATTTATATTTTCCTCCGAAAATTGTATTAAATTTAGTACATTTCATTTTTAGTACAATTCTCTATATTTCCAAAAAACGAGCACGCAAACTCCTAGGAAGATAAAAATATTTTTTCAAAAATTGTACTAAATCAATTTTCATTTCCCAAACTTTGGTACATTTCAGTTTTAGTACAATTTATCTTTGATCCGAAGAATTGTGCGTACTCTTAGGATAATGGAAAAAATTCATCAATAATTGTAATAAATTTAATACAATTAATTTGTATTATCAAAAATTGTACTAAGATTAGTATGTACATTTCATTTTTAGTACAATTTTTCATTTTAGTACAAAAAAACGAACACACGCAATTTCCCAGAATAATAAAAATATTTTTTCAAAAATTGTACTAAATCAATTTTTATTTCCGAAAATTTAGTACATTCACATTTTTAGTACAATTTAACTTTATAATATTCAGAAAATCATAAAAACGGCTTCATACAAATTCAGTTTAGGTCAAAAACCATCAAATCCAGAATTGTACTAGATTTAGTACATTTACATTTTTAGTACAATACAACCCTATAATTTTTGAAAAAATCCTAAAAACTGTTTTTTACTAATTCGATTTAGGTCAAAATCCATCAAATCCCGAATTGTACCAAATTTAGTACATTTACCTTTTTAGTACAATTCAACTCTATAACTTTTGAAAAATCATAAAAACCGTTTTTTACAAATTCAATTTAGGTCAAAATCCATCAAATTCCAAATTTTACTAGGTTTAGTAGATTTACATTTTCAGTACATAATTTTTGAAAAATCATATAAACCGCTTTTTACAAATTCAATTTGGCCCAAAATCCATCCAATCCTGAATTATACTAGATTTAGTACATTTAATTTCAAGTATAATTAATCTTTGTTTTTGACATTTTTGAAAATTGTACTAAATCTAGTACATTTTTCTTTTTCTAATAAAAAAACAAGTAAAATTGTAAAGAAACTCTTTTGTCAAACAACATGGATATGGAAAAAAATGAATTTTTAGTACATTTCAACTTTTTATTTAGTACATTCGATTTTTAGTACAATTTATATTTTATTTCGAAAATTGTACTAAATTTAGTACATTTCATTTCAAGTACAATTTATCTTTGTTTTTGACATTTTTGAAAATTGTACAAAGTCTAGTACATATCATTTTTAGTACAATTTTTCATTTCAGTACAAAAAAACGAAAACACACAAACTCCGAGGATAATGAAATTTTTTTTTCAAAAATTGCACTAAATCAATTTTTATTTCCGAAAATTTAGTACATTTACATTTTTAGTACAATTCAACTCTATAATATTTGAAAAATCATAAAAACCGTTTTTTACTAATTCAATTTAGGTCAAAATCCATCAAATCTAGAATTGTACTAGGTTTAGTACATTTACATTTTTAGTACATAATTTTTGAAAAATCACAAAAACCGTATTTTACTAATTCAATTTAGGTCAAAATTCATCAATTCCCGAATTGTACTAGATTTAGTATATTTACATTTTTAGTACAATTTTTTTTACGGTGTGATTTTCTAGTACATTTCCATTTTTTCATGAAAAATTATAAAAAACGATGTCTTCTTCAGATTTGAAAAATTCAATTTGGCCAAAATCTATTAAATCCCGAATTGTACTAGATTAATTACATTTGATTTCTGGTACAATTAATCTCTGTTTTTGACATTTTTAAAAATTGTACTAAATCTAGTACATTTCTTTTTTTTTTTCATAAAAAAGTTTGTCAAATTGTGAAAAGACACGTCTTTCGAAAAAAAATGAATTTTTAGGACATTTCAACCTTTTATTTAGTACATTCGGTTTTTAATGCAATTTATATTTTCCTCCGAAAATTGTATTAAATTTAGTACATTTCATTTTTAGTACAATTCTCTATATTTCCAAAAAACGAGCACACAAACTCCTAGGAAGATAAAAATATTTTTTCAAAAATTGTACTAAATCAATTTTCATTTCCCAAACTTTGGTACATTTCATTTTTAGTACAATTTTTCATTTTAGTACAAAAAAACGAACACACGCAATTTCCCAGAATAATGAAAATATTTTTTCAAAAATTGTACTAAATCAATTTTTATTTCCGAAAATTTAGTACATTTACATTTTTAGTACAATTTAACTCTATAATTTTCAGAAAATCATAAAAACCGCTTCATACAAATTCAGTTTAGGTCAAAAACCATCAAATCCAGAATTGTACTAGATTTAGTACATTTACATTTTTAGTACAATACAACCCTATAATTTTTGAAAAAATCCTAAAAACTGTTTTTTACTAATTCGATTTAGGTCAAAATCCATCAAATCCCGAATTGTACCAGATTTAGTACATTTACCTTTTTAGTACAATTCAACTCTACAACTTTTGAAAAATCATAAAAACCGTTTTTTACAAATTCAATTTAGGTCAAAATCCATCAAATTCCAAATTTTACTAGGTTTAGTAGATTTACATTTTTAGTACATAATTTTTGAAAAATCATATAAACCGCTTTTTACAAATTCAATTTGGCCCAAAATCCATCCAATCCTGAATTATACTAGATTTAGTACATTTAATTTCAAGTATAATTAATCTTTGTTTTTGACATTTTTGAAAATTGTACTAAATCTAGTACATTTTTCTTTTTCTAATAAAAAAACAAGTAAAATTGTAAAGAAACTCTTTTGTCAAACAACATGGATATGGAAAAAAATGAATTTTTAGTACATTTCAACTTTTTATTTAGTACATTCGATTTTTAGTACAATTAATATTTTATTTCGAAAATTGTACTAAATTTAGTACATTTCATTTCAAGTACAATTTATCTTTGTTTTTGACATTTTTGAAAATTGTACAAAGTCTAGTACATTTCATTTTTAGTACAATTTTTCATTTCAGTACAAAAAAACGAAAACACACAAACTCCCAGGATAATGAAAATATTTTTTCAAAAATTGCACTAAATCAATTTTTATTTCCGAAAATTTAGTACATTTACATTTTTAGTGCAATTCAACTCTATATTTTTTGAAAAATCATAAAAACCGTTTTTTACCTATTCAATTTGGGTCAAAATCCATCAAATCCCGAATTGTACTAGGTTTAGTACATTTACATTTTTAGTACATAATTTTTGAAAAATCACAAAAACCGTATTTTACTAATTCAATTTAGGTCAAAATTCATCAATTCCCGAATTGTACTAGATTTAGTATATTTACATTTTTAGTACAATTTTTTTTACGGTGTGATTTTCTAGTACATTTCCATTTTTTCATGAAAAATTATAAAAAACGATGTCTTCTTCAGATTTGAAAAATTCAATTTGGCCAAAATCTATTAAATCCCGAATTGTACTAGATTAATTACATTTGATTTCTGGTACAATTAATCTCTGTTTTTGACATTTTTAAAAATTGTACTAAATCTAGTACATTTCTTTTTTTTTTTCATAAAAAAGTTTGTCAAATTGTGAAAAGACACGTCTTTCGAAAAAAAAATGAATTTTTAGGACATTTCAACCTTTTATTTAGTACATTCGGTTTTTAATGCAATTTATATTTTCCTCCGAAAATTGTATTAAATTTAGTACATTTCATTTTTAGTACAATTCTCTATATTTCCAAAAAACGAGCACACAAACTCCTAGGAAGATAAAAATATTTTTTCAAAAATTGTACTAAATCAATTTTCATTTCCCAAACTTTGGTACATTTCATTTTTAGTACAATTTTTCATTTTAGTACAAAAAAACGAACACACGCAATTTCCCAGAATAATGAAAATATTTTTTCAAAAATTGTACTAAATCAATTTTTATTTCCGAAAATTTAGTACATTTACATTTTTAGTACAATTTAACTCTATAATTTTCAGAAAATCATAAAAACCGCTTCATACAAATTCAGTTTAGGTCAAAAACCATCAAATCCAGAATTGTACTAGATTTAGTACATTTACATTTTTAGTACAATACAACCCTATAATTTTTGAAAAAATCCTAAAAACTGTTTTTTACTAATTCGATTTAGGTCAAAATCCATCAAATCCCGAATTGTACCAGATTTAGTACATTTACCTTTTTAGTACAATTCAACTCTACAACTTTTGAAAAATCATAAAAACCGTTTTTTACAAATTCAATTTAGGTCAAAATCCATCAAATTCCAAATTTTACTAGGTTTAGTAGATTTACATTTTTAGTACATAATTTTTGAAAAATCATATAAACCGCTTTTTACAAATTCAATTTGGCCCAAAATCCATCCAATCCTGAATTATACTAGATTTAGTACATTTAATTTCAAGTATAATTAATCTTTGTTTTTGACATTTTTGAAAATTGTACTAAATCTAGTACATTTTTCTTTTTCTAATAAAAAAACAAGTAAAATTGTAAAGAAACTCTTTGTCAAACAACATAGATATGGAAAAAAATGAATTTTTAGTACATTTCAACTTTTTATTTAGTACATTCGATTTTTAGTACAATTAATATTTTATTTCGAAAATTGTACTAAATTTAGTACATTTCATTTCAAGTACAATTTATCTTTGTTTTTGACATTTTTGAAAATTGTACATATCATTTTTAGTACAATTTTTCATTTCAGTACAAAAAAACGAAAACACACAAACTCCCAGGATAATGAAAATATTTTTTCAAAAATTGCACTAAATCAATTTTTATTTCCGAAAATTTAGTACATTTACATTTTTAGTACAATTCAACTCTATAATATTTGAAAAATCATAAAAACCGTTTTTTACTAATTCAATTTAGGTCAAAATCCATCAAATCTAGAATTGTACTAGGTTTAGTATATTTACATTTTTAGTACAATTTTTTCTACGGTGTGATTTTCTAGTACATTTCCATTTTTTCATGAAAAATTATAAAAAACGATGTCTTCTTCAGATTTGAAAAATTCAATTTGGCCAAAATCTATTAAATCCCGAATTGTACTAGATTAATTACATTTGATTTCTGGTACAATTAATCTCTGTTTTTGACATTTTTAAAAATTGTACTAAATCTAGTACATTTCTTTTTTTTTTCCATAAAAAAGTTTGTCAAATTGTGAAAAGACACGTCTTTCGAAAAAAAAATGAATTTTTAGGACATTTCAACCTTTTATTTAGTACATTCGGTTTTTAGTGCAATTTATATTTTCCTCCGAAAATTGTATTAAATTTAGTACATTTCATTTTTAGTACAATTCTCTATATTTCCAAAAAACGAGCACGCAAACTCCTAGGAAGATAAAAATATTTTTTCAAAAGTTGTACTAAATCAATTTTCATTTCCCAAACTTTGGTACATTTCAGTTTTAGTACAATTTATCTTTGATCCGAAGAATTGTGCGTACTCTTAGGATAATGGAAAAAATTCATCAATAATTGTAATAAATTTAATACAATTAATTTGTATTATCAAAAATTGTACTAAGATTAGTATGTACATTTCATTTTTAGTACAATTTTTCATTTTAGTACAAAAAAACGAACACACGCAATTTCCCAGAATAATGAAAATATTTTTTCAAAAATTGTACTAAATCAATTTTTATTTCCGAAAATTTAGTACATTCACATTTTTAGTACAATTTAACTTTATAATATTCAGAAAATCATAAAAACGGCTTCATACAAATTCAGTTTAGGTCAAAAACCATCAAATCCAGAATTGTACTAGATTTAGTACATTTACATTTTTAGTACAATACAACCCTATAATTTTTGAAAAAATCCTAAAAACTGTTTTTTACTAATTCGATTTAGGTCAAAATCCATCAAATCCCGAATTGTACCAGATTTAGTACATTTACCTTTTTAGTACAATTCAACTCTATAACTTTTGAAAAATCATAAAAACCGTTTTTTACAAATTCAATTTAGGTCAAAATCCATCAAATTCCAAATTTTACTAGGTTTAGTAGATTTACATTTTTAGTACATAATTTTTGAAAAATCATATAAACCGCTTTTTACAAATTCAATTTGGCCCAAAATCCATCCAATCCTGAATTATACTAGATTTAGTACATTTAATTTCAAGTATAATTAATCTTTGTTTTTGACATTTTTGAAAATTGTACTAAATCTAGTACATTTTTCTTTTTCTAATAAAAAAACAAGTAAAATTGTAAAGAAACTCTTTTGTCAAACAACATGGATATGGAAAAAAATGAATTTTTAGTATATTTCAACTTTTTATTTAGTACATTCGATTTTTAGTACAATTTATATTTTATTTCGAAAATTGTACTAAATTTAGTACATTTCATTTCAAGTACAATTTATCTTTGTTTTTGACATTTTTGAAAATTGTACAAAGTCTAGTACATTTCATTTTTAGTACAATTTTTCATTTCAGTACAAAAAAACGAAAACACACAAACTCCCAGGATAATGAAAATATTTTTTCAAAAATTGCACTAAATCAATTTTTATTTCCGAAAATTTAGTACATTTACATTTTTAGTGCAATTCAACTCTATATTTTTTGAAAAATCATAAAAACCGTTTTTTACTAATTCAATTTAGGTCAAAATCCATCAAATCTAGAATTGTACTAGGTTTAGTACATTTATATTTCAGTGGAAAATTTACTTTTTTAAGTAAAATTAAGGAAAATTCATCCTATGACATTTTAATTTATTTTGTAAAACTAGTAAATGGAAAACTTTCAAAATTTTCCAGGAGAAAAAGGAAAGTGACGAGATCATTGTAGGAAAATTTCAACATTTTTCAGTGGAAAATTACATTTAGTTGATTTTCAAAAATTTCCAATGGTGTTATTTTCACTGGAAAAATTTGAAATTTTAGTATGATGTGCTACTGGCTTTCTTCCTTTTTTTCCAGAAAATTTCATATTTTTCTTCTGGATGGTTTTCTAGAAAAAAAAAAAATCTTTTGTGGCATTTTTGTATAGCAACATCTATGTTATCGAACGCACCCTCAATTTTCCTAGAAATAATTTCCCATTAACTTCGAAATTTTAGTACAATGAGCTCCTTATATTGCTCTTCTTATTCTGAAGATCCCATCATTTTCTTTTAAGTAGTTTTCCTGAAGAAAAATAAGATGCATTTTTGTATACCAACATCAATGTTATTGAACGCACCCTCAATTTTTCTAAAAATAGTTTCCCATTTAGTTATTTTCCAGTGGAAAACTTTGAAATTTTGGTATAATGAGCTCCTAATATTGCTCCTATTATCCTAAAATTCCCATAATTTTTCCTTGGGTAATTTTCCAGAAAAAAATAAATAAAACATGATTTTCTTTGCTAAGTACTGTGAAGCTTCAATCATAGATGGCGCCAGCGGCAATAAATCAGGCCAGGACCTAGGAATAATATTTTTTTGTTTATTTTGCAATAATTATTATTATTTAAAACAAATCATGGCCCTTAACGAAGTCGAAGTGAAACTGGCCCAGTACAGGGCCAAAAAACAACGAGAGGCTTTTTTAAACAAGGCCCTCTTTTGGGGGGGCCCCAAAACACAACAACAAGAAACGGTAATTTATCAATTAATTAATTATTTTGTCCCCCCATTATTTTATTGATGACTTCTTCATTTTAAGGAGCCTTTTTTAGTAGTTGACGAACCAGAATTAAAACCAAAAAAAGAAGACATTCCACAATTTGTAGAGGAGACCAATATGGCCCTAACATCTCTCGACTACATTCAATATTGCCTCTATTTTATACTGTGGGCTACAATTTATGGAATTTTCATAAAACTCCAATTCGGTACAGTGTATTTGATTATATCAATGCTTTTTGGTATTTATTTCAACACTGGGACGCGTACAAAGAGGCCTAATGAGCCCAGCGCCTACTCAGTTTTCAATGAGAATTGCCAAAGCATCCCAGGGACTTTAGATGCCGAAAAAATGACCCAACAAATGTTATACGGATTTAATACTTAAAAACTAATAATAAACATAAAAATTATTTTGTTTCATTGTCCTGGAGTAGTTTTTGCAAGTCCAGGCCATCGAATTTCCTAGGGTCAACGTTGTTGGAGGCGTGCGCCAAAAACAGCTCCTTAAGGAAACTCAACTCTTTTGTCAAAGTTTTCACTTTTTCTTCTAAAACCGAGTTTTCGTTACGCAATTCCGTCACTCGGTTAACGGTCTCTTGGGTTTTCTGTTTCGATTTCACTCTGCTACGTTTTACGGCCTGGAAATTCGATAATAGGAATTTATGTTTTTTTAAAAGGTAAGTTGATGTTTTTTTTTTTTTTTTACCAAATTGTTTCTGTCCCGTCTCTTACGGTAATCGTCCGAATCTTCCCCGGATTCGGGGCCCTCCTTTTTGACGCGCCCCCTACGAGGCATTTGGGGCTACTTTGATATTCGTGGGGGGTAAGTACAAAATAATTTGTTTTTATTTTGGTAAGCAAAGTTGTCTCGTTTTTTGAGGTTATGTTGACAATAATAATTGTCAAAATATTTTTTGATTTTTCATCTCTTTCTAATTCGTAGTGATAAAAAGAGAAATAGGGTCTTTTTGAAAACCCTTTAAAAAAAAGAAGAATAGGAAAATCAATACAAAACATAACCTCACATATTTTTTGTTATTCGTCGTGTGTTTACAAGCAAATCGTTTGAGTTTGGAGTTTCGTATATGTAATTATTAATTAAAAAAGTGTTTTTCCTGGATAATTAACAACAATTAATTGTTTATTAATCAATCAGGTAAGTGAGGCTTTGTATTATTAGTCAATTAGAAGTCATACTAAACCGGGATTTTGTTTGTTTTGATTTTATGTGTTTTTGATGTTTTCCGGCAAGTTTTGTTATTTTCCCGGTTTTGTTTGGTTTTTATCGACTTTTCCGGTGTATTTTTACATAATTTGAGTTAATTTTCAATGATTTCCCAGCATTTTTGGTAGCAAATACAAAAATTGTGTCCGCCATTTTCGTCCTTAACCATTTGCAATCACATTCATCTTCCACCATTTTTGTCCCCTCCCATTGATCTTTTGCTTATTTTTATCCTTTCCCTGGACATTTTGGTATATTTTTACTTTGATTTTCAATAATTTGTCACGTTATTGTTTTTCATTGAAAGTTTTAGTATAATAAGCTCCAAAGTTTCTTCTTTTTACCCTAAACGTTTCACAATTTTTTCATAGTTTTCCAAAAAAAACAATCAAAAGATAAGCTTCTTCTAACGTTGATTTTAGACCTTCAAATACTTAGAATTGATAAGAAACTGAACTGTATTTTTTGAGTTTAGTAGGCTTTAGAAATTGTGTCCGCCATTTACATCCTTTCCTCGCCTATTTTTGACTCATCTCATCAATCCTTTGCTCATTTTTGTCCCTTCTCAGCATTATGCTGCCATTCAGTACGTGACTTGTATCTAAAATGAATTTAATTAAATAATTTTAATGACGTCATCATCAGTATTTGTTTTGTGTTCTAGGCGGCCAAATGCCTGAAATAGATAATTTTAATGCCGTCATCATCAGTACGTGTCTTGTATCCTAGATGGCTGAATGCCTGGAATAATCAATCAATTATATATTGTTGTGACGTCATTATCAGTACTTCTATTTTTCATCCTCACCCATTTGCCATTAGGGATGATATATACTACCAAGGTTTCTACATTAGTAGAATGTAGGACAGCTAACGACTTAGTTATGACGTCGGAAATGGTGACACCAATATAGCGATGGTCTTATATCCCAGGCGACCAAATGCCTAGAATTTAATTAAATAATTTTAATGACGTCATCATCAGTATTTATCCTATAACCTAGAATAATCAATCAATTAAATAATTTTAATAACATCACATCTGTTTGAGTCTAGTATCCTTGATAGCCAAATGCCTGCAATAATCACATTTTTTATCTAATTTCGTGACGTCATCAATATAACTTATATTGAAAACTCAGATATAAATTTTTAAAAGGAATAATGAATCAATTATATATTGTTATGACGTCATTATCAGTACATCTATTTTTCGTCCTTATTCATTTGTCATTAAAGATGATATACACTACCAAGGTTTCTACAGTAGTAGAATGTAGGACAGCTGACGACTTAGTTATGACGTCGGAAATGGTGACACACCAATATAGCGATGGTCTTGTATCCCAGGCGGCCAAATGTCTAAATCAATCCCCGACCAGAATGGACACTTGGTACTATTTGACAAGTTAGTCATGTCAATTCTAAACGTTCAAGGCTTCCTTAAGGTCCAAGGAAACCTCAAGGAGCGACTATAAATTCGGCCCTAGATCATTTTAATTACGTCATCATTAGTTCAGTTTTGATATTTGATGCTTGCAATAATCACTTTTTTCATCCGATTTCGTGACGTCATCACTAGTACTTACATTGAAGAATCAGATATAAATTTTTAAAAGGCTTTGTAAAGTGACATGAGGCGGCTGTGGCTGTGTTAGTTTAATGGTTACAGTTTTATTTCATGATTTCTAAAAATTTCAGTGACGTCATTGTAAATATTTGTCCTATATATTAGATGGCCGAATGCCTGGAATTATCACTCAATTAAATAATTTTAATGACGTCACCGTCAGTACGTGTCTAGTATCCTTAATGGCCAAATGCCTGAAATAATGAATCAATTATATATTGTTATGACTTCATCATCAGTACATTTATTTTTCGTTTTGCCATTAAGGATGATATACTATACATTACCAAGGTTTCTACATTAGTAGAATATAGGACAGTTGACGACTTCGTTATGACGTCGAAAATGGTGACTTTTCAATATAGCGATGATTTTGTATCTCAGGCGGCCAAATGCCTAGAATTTAATTAGATAATTTTAATGACGTCATCATCGGTACTTGTCTTATAACCTGGATGGCCGAATGCCTAAAATAATCAATCAATTAAATAGTTTTAATAACATCACTATCTGTACGTGTCTAGTATCCTTGATAGCCAAATGCCTGCAATAATGACATTTTCTATCTAATTTCGTGACGTCATCATTAGTACTGATATACATTTTTAAAAAGCTTTTAGAGTGAAATGAGGCTATGGCCGTATTAGTTTAATGACCACAGCTTCATTTCACCTAGTAGGCTGACAGTGACGTCATTGTAAGTATTTGTTCTATATGTTGGGTGGTCAAATGCCTGGAATAATCAATCAGTTAAATAATTTTAATAATAACACCATCTGTACGTGTCTTGTATCCTAGGTGGCCAAATGCCTGGAATAATCAATCAATTAAATAATTTTAATGACGTCACCATTAGTACGTGTCGAGTATCCTTGATGGCCAAATGCCTGGAATAATGAATCAATTAGATCATTTTATTTACGTCATCATTAGTTTAGTTTTGATATTTGATGCCTGCAACCTGTAATAATCACATTTTTCATCTAATTATTGTGACGTCATCATTAGTACTGATATACATTTTTAAAAGGCTTGTAAAGTGAAATGAGGCTGTAGCTGTGTTAATTAAATGGCCATAGCCTCATTTCACTTAGTAGGCTGATTCCTAGAAATTTCAGTGACGTCATTGTAAGTATTTGTTCTATATGTTGGGTGGTCAAACGCGTTGGAATAATCACTCAATTAAATAATTTTAATGACCTCACCATCAGTACTTGTCTAGTATCCTTGATGGCCAAATGTCTGGAATAATAAATCAATTATATATTGTTATGACGTCATCATCAGTACAGCTATTTTTTGTTCTTACCCATTTGCCATTAAGGATGATATACTATACATTACTAAGATTTCTACATTAGTAGAATATAGGACAGTTGACGACTTCGTTATGACGTCGAAAATGGTGACTTTTCAATATAGCGATGATTTTGTATCTCAGGCGGCCAAATGCCTAGAATTTAATTAAATAATTTTAATGACGTCATCATCGGTACTTGTCTTATAACCTGGATGGCCGAATGCCTAAAATAATCAATCAATTAAATAGTTTTAATAACATCACTATCTGTACGTGTCTAGTATCCTTGATAGCCAAATGCCTGCAATAATGACATTTTCTATCTAATTTCGTGACGTCATCATTAGTGCTGATATACATTTTTAAAAAGCTTTTAGAGTGAAATGAGGCTATGGCTGTATTAGTTTAATGACCACAGCTTCATTTCACCTAGTAGGCTGACAGTGACGTCATTGTAAGTATTTGTTCTATATGTTGGGTGGTCAAATGCCTGGAATAATCAATCAGTTAAATAATTTTAATAATAACACCATCTGTACGTGTCTTGTATCCTAGGTGGCCAAATGCCTGGAATAATCAATCAATTAAATAATTTTAATGACGTCACCATTAGTACGTGTCGAGTATCCTTGATGGCCAAATGCCTGGAAGAATGAATCAATTAGATGATTTTATTTACGTCATCATTAGTTTAGTTTTGATATTTGATGCCTGCAACCTGCAATAATGACATTTTTCATCTAATTATTGTGACGTCATCATTAGTACTGATATACATTTTTAAAAGGCTTGTAAAGTGAAATGAAGCTGTGGCTGTTAGTTTAATGGCTACAGCTTCATTTCACCTAGTGAGCTGATTTCTAAAAATCTCAGTGACGTCATTGTAAGTATTTGTCCTATATGTTAGATGGTCAAATGCCTGGAATAATCATTCAATTAAATAATTTTAATGACATCACCATCAATACGTGTCTAGTATCCTTGATGGCCAAATGCCTGGAATAATGAATCAATTATATATTGTTATGACGTCATCATCAGTACATCTATTTTTCGTCCTTATCCATTTGCTATTAAGGATGATTATACATTGCCAAGGTTTCTACATTTGTAAAATGTAGGACAGGTGACGACTAAGTTATGACGTCGGAAATGGTGACACACCAATATAGCGATGGTCTTGTATCCTAGGCGGCCAAATGCCTAAAATTTAATTAGATAATTTTTATGACGTCATCAGTCCTATAACTTGGATGGCCAAATGTCTGGAATAATCAATCAATTAAATAATTTTAATAACATCATCATCTGTACGTGTCTAGTATTCTTGATAGCCAAATGCTTGCAATAATCAAATTTTCAATCTAATTTCGTGACGTCATCATTAGTACAGATATAAATTTTTCAAAGGCTTGTAAAGTGAAATGAGGCTGTAGCTGTGTTAATTAAATGGCCATAGCCTCATTTCACTTAGTAGGCTGATTTCTAAAAATGTCAGTGACGTCATTGTAAGTCTTTGTCCTATATGTTAGGTGGTTAAATGCCTGGAATAATCACTCATAATCACTCAACGTCACCATCAGTACGTGTCTAGTATCCTTGATAGCCAAATGCTTGCAATAATCATATTTTCAATCTAATTTCGTGACGTCATCATTAGTACAGATATAAATTTTTCAAAGGCTTGTAAAGTGAAATGAGGCTGTAGCTGTGTTAATTAAATGGCCATAGCCTCATTTCACTTAGTAGGCTGATTCCTAAAAATTTCAGTGACGTCATTGTAAGTCTTTGTCCGATATGTTAGATGGTCAAATGCCTGGAATAATCATTCAATTAAATAATTTTAATGACGTCACCATCAATACGTGTCTAGTATCCTTGATGGCCAAATGTCTGGAATAATGAATCAATTAGATCATTTTAATTACGTCATCATTGATTTAGTTTTGATATTTGATGCCTGCAATAATCAAATTTTTTATCTAATTTCGTGACGTCATCAATATAACTTATATTGAAAACTCAGATATAAATTTTTAAACGGAATAATGAACCAATTATATATTGTTATGACGTCATTATCAGTACATCTATTTTTCGGCCTTATTCATTTGCCATTAAAGATGATATACACTACCAAGGTTTCTACAGTAGTAGAATGTAGGACAGCTGACGACTTAGTTATGACGTCGGAAATGGTGACACACAAATATAGCGATGGCCTTGTATACCAGGCGGCCAAATGTCTAGAATTTAATTAGATAATTTTAATGACGTCATCATCAGTCCTATAACCTGGATGGCCAAATGCCTAAAATAATCAATTGATTAAATTATTTTAATAATATCACCACTTGTACGTGTCTAGTATCCTTGATGGCCAAAAGTCTGGAATAATGAATCAATTAGATCATTTTAATTACGTCATCATTGGTTTAGTTTTGATATTTGATGCCTGCAATAATCAAATTTTTTATCTAATTTCGTGACGTCATCAATAGTACTTATATTAAAAACTCAAATATAAATTTTTAAAAGGAATAATGAATCAATTATATATTGTTATGACGTCATTATCAGTACATCTATTTTTCGTCCTTATTCATTTGCCATTAAAGATGATATACACTACCAAGGTTTCTACATTAGTAGAATGTAGGACAGCTGACGACTTAGTTATGACGTCGGAAATGGTGACACACCAATATAGCGATGGTCTTGTATCCTAGGCGGCCAAATGTCTAAAATTTAATTAGATAATTTTTATGACGTCATCATCAGTCCTATAACTTGGATGGCCAAATGTCTGGAATAATCAATCAATTAAATAATTTTAATAACATCATCATCTGTACGTGTCTAGTATTTTTGATAGCCAAATGCTTGCAATAATCAAATTTTCAATCTAATTTCGTGACGTCATCATTAGTACAGATATAAATTTTTCAAAGGCTTGTAAAGTGAAATGAGGCTGTAGCTGTGTTAATTAAATGGCCATAGCCTCATTTCACTTAGTAGGCTGATTTCTAAAAATGTCAGTGACGTCATTGTAAGTCTTTGTCCTATATGTTAGGTGGTTAAATGCCTGGAATAATCACTCATAATCACTCAACGTCACCATAAGTACGTGTCTACTATCCTTGATGGCCAAATGTCTGGAATAATGAATCAATTAGATCATTTTAATTACGTCATCATTGGTTTAGTTTTGATATTTGATGCCTGCAATAATCAAATTTTTTATCTAATTTCGTGACGTCATCAATAGTACTTATATTAAAAACTCAAATATAAATTTTTAAAAGGAATAATGAATCAATTATATATTTTTATGACGTCATTATCAGTACATCTATTTTTCGTCCTTATTCATTTGCCATTAAAGATGATATACACTACCAAGGTTTCTACATTAGTAGAATGTAGGACAGCT